AGACAGCAAGTTTAATAATTACTTTAGTAGAGGTAAAACATGGCTATGTCATTAGTTTCTTCCTTACCATATTACCAACATTGAACACACATTATATAAGTTCATTATATGAAATTCCTAAAGTTAATTAAATGTAGATGCTTAAAGATGAATTCAAGTATAAAGTATAAAATTAATAATGGTAGGAGAAGAAAAATCAAGGTTATATCATTAACAAAAAGATGGTTAAGTATCTTACCATGACATGGTAACATACGTTAACTGTCGTAACAAAGAGCATAGCTAAGTAATGTAAGCATTTCGCTGTTAAAATATAGTTATATATTCATGTTATTTTTACTACCAAAAAAGAAAACATGAGATTTTCAGTTTTATTAAACATCTAGAAAATGCCACTAAGGCAACTTAAAGAAAAAAAGGAATCGAATATTAGTTAACTCTTAATCTTTTCTGTTGTGAGAAACTTATGTTATTGGTAACTGCAAAAGTATCTATGAACTAAACATCTACTCTAAATCATATAGCAGGTTAGTTTTTATACGTAATAGAGTTGTTTCCTTTCTAACTGAACTCAGCTATCAATAATATATACTTCGTGAGGAAAAAAAAAGTGATGCTGTTAGAATAGTTGTTTTATTTCACTAATGTGAAATTTCAAGGTAATTAAAGACCTAAATAAGCCGTATCTTTAGGTAACAGAAGAGTTTATTAAAAGTCTTTGCTGCCTTAAAAAGTATTACAAATAGAAAATAACGAAAGCTCTTAGGTTATGTTTAATCATTCTCAGAGGATCTGAAACATAAAGAAGCTACCTTAGCCATAAACTATATAGCTTTTCACCATTTGTAAAATACACCTCGAAATATTCTAGAAAATGATTTCATGGGCTGGCTGACATCACTGCCAACCAGATACCTTTATGGACACATACAGGTATCATAAAAAATTACATATTAATAATGGCTGAACACTTCAAGTAAATCTTCCCTGAAGGAGATATATATTAATTTCATCTTACTATCTTCCTGTACAACCCTAAAGGATAATTATAACTATGTTAGGGGGCATTTCAAGGTTCCTTGAGAAATTAGAGGAGTTACAGTCTCCTTTGCACCTAACACGAGAGAAGGGAGACTCGACATCCATCAAGCCCCTCCTGCATCCCTATACACTTCAGTCAGGTCCAAACTAGAACTTGATATGGTTTAGTATAAATGGTCTAATTATACTGTGATCTCATTACTTTGCAAATATCTAAATTTGCAAGCTTTACAAACAGCTCTACATCTAATTCTTTTGCAGTTCTCAGAAGCCAGCATAATACTTGGCATCAAATGTGGTTAATGATAAATGATTTTATAACCGATCAACAATTTAATGAGGAATATTAATTTACATCAACTATCTACATCATCCATTTATAAAAGCCACAATCACCAATGACTTTGAGACTTAAAATTCTGACCAGTTTTTAAAAGGCTATTTTATTTGTAAAAACTCGTTACTTTTAATAAAATAACAAAAAGCACTTGCCTGACCCAAAACATCTTATAGTGGGGGCACTTTAAGATCAGGGTATGATAATATAACCAAATAAGAAAGAATGGCTTAAACAGATAGTCATTTAAACAATATACTTGTATTTTTGGAAAATGAAAGGGATCTAATAATTCAATGACTCAGTAGGCAGAGAGCTAAAAAAATAACCCTAGAAAGTTAAAAAAAAAAAAAAAAAAAGCCCCAGTTGCCTATGCTACATTGTTTAGCACAGCTCATTAGAAGCAGAGCTGAAAAGGGCTAAGTCACAATCTTGTGATAAGTTGAGTAACTTGAAAATAGATATTTCCTTAAATAAAATGTTTTCCTTTTGTTTTTTTAACCTACATGCTACATAAACAGTTTTGAAGAATGTACAGAACTGAGCAGTTATATTTATCAATTTTTTTAAGTATACTTTATGGAAGAGTTCTCAAATAAGCAAATCAGACTTACAGAAGACTACCCAATACACAGAAGATAATGCTATTGAAAAATCCTCGCAACTAACAGAATGGTCAGGTTTTAAGTATTGCAAATATGTAAAATTGATGTAAATGCAAAACAGATTTCATACACTACTAGGAGTAAATTATTTACTTTTTTCTCAGGATCTTAGGCCTAAAACATACATCCACGTCTTCCTCCTTTTTTAAAAACAAATTTGGAAGTAAAAAAAAAAAAAAAGTAAATTATTTAGAAAAAGAAGAGACGGATAATATGTGGAGAACACTAATGAAGGAGGCACGACATTCCGTGGCTCTACTCACAGGGAGTCAGTCCTGACCAGCTGTCCGTTTTGGCGAACAGCGTTTTCACTCATAGAACGCTCTCTTTTTAGCCTGCCGACTGCACGGACCTGTCAGGTGCAAAGAAAAGGAACAGAAAACACTCTTAGTAGCCTAGGAGCTGTTTAGCATCAAAAGAACCTTAATTCAGGGACACTCACAAAATGTACGAAGAATGGCTGCTAGGCATGTACATTATAGATACACATGTTTAAAAAACTCTACTTATTATAATGCAGATAAACCTAGGAATGCTTACTTTATGACAAAGTTTCCTTCTGGTTTCTTTTAAAGTATCAATCTTCTGTGGTACAGTCTTCTATAAATATTTTTATTATAATTTATGTAATATACTTTTACTAAAGAACAATTCCCAACAGGTTTTAAAGGCACATATACTATGGGAAATGGGATGTATTTATATTACAAATAAATGTTTCTGGCTTCTGGTGTTAAACGAATTCAGATTTGGTTGAATAGCTGAAAACTGGACTAAAAAAACAGCCTTTCTAGCTTAAAGGTTTTTGGCATTCCAGAAAGAGCCACAGCCTCTTATCTTGCATGTTCTTCTTACAAAGATATCATCGGCCTCTTTCCACTTGGGGTGGGCTCTCTGTTGCCTTCCCTTGACATTGGGTGGGCTGGTGACTGCAGGGATGATGCAATGTGACTTACAAGGTTTGGTCATAAACAATACAGTTTCTGCCTTTTTTATCCAGATTGTTCATGTTAGGAAAAATGGCACCAAAATGTGAAGAAGCCCAAGCAGCCACACGGAAAGACAATGGGTAGGTACAGCAGCTGAGGTCCCAGACAACAGCTAGGATCAACTGACATGTGAGTGACGAGGCCTTCAGATGACTGCAGCCTCAAGCTGTCGAATCGGCCCTAGTCTTTGAGACTTCCTAGCTTAGGCCCATGTATTGTAGAAGCAAAACAAGTTTTCCCCATTATGCCTGCTGCAAATTCCTAACCCACAGAATTCATGAGCAGAATAAAAAGTGCAGCCACTGTTTCATGGCTGTCTTAGGCACTGGGATTTAGCAGTCACTCCCAACTCCCCTCTCCCCTAAACCCCTGGCAACCAGTAATCTGCTTTCTAACTCTGTGGTTTTGCCTATTCTGGATATTTCAAGTAAGTGGAATCATGTAAATGGCGTTTTCTGTCAAGCTTCTTTGACCTGGCATAATGTTTTCAGGATTCATCCATGTTGGAGCCTGTGCAAGTACATTCCTTATTATAGCTGAAAAATATTGACTATGAGGATATACCACATTTTGCTCATCTATTCATCACTTGATGGACATTTGGATCATTTCTACCTTTTGGCTATTAGAGACCTGTTTGATTTTTTATGACTTAGAGGATGCTACTGGTATCTAGTAGACAGAAATCAAAAATGCTGCTAAATGTTCTACAGTGCAAAACGACAGCCTTCACAACAAAGGATGATCCACTCCAATATGTCAATAGTGCTGAGGCTGAGAAACCTTGAATATGCTGTAAAATGACTGCCACAGAGTAAATGGTTCGGGGGGTCTCACTTGATAGATTCTGAGTAACATCTGAATGAATCAGCAATGTTATCGGCACACAGGGCCTTACTGCCCTTCTATCTCAATTCGTTTTCTAAAAGCTACTAGAATTCTGGTTCCTTTCCCATCTCTGCTCATTGGCTGACTGCTACTCGAAGGCCCCCTGACCCTTCTTGGATGTGAAGTACAGATCATCATAGTTGCTTCCTTTCAATAGGCAGCTGGTACTCATCTCAGAAACTCGTCTCTGCATCTCAGGATCTGGCTCCTGCCATAGGATTTTAACTTTCGTAATAATATTTACACACATTGTGCTTTTAATGTAAATTAGAACACATGCTAAACACACCACATGCATTCTTACCCTTAATTCTCAAAATAATTTTATGCGCTTGGCATTATTTTTATCTTCATTTTCTCTTTGAGCACTGGAATTGTTAAATAACTTGCCCGAAGTTATGTGGTTAGTTACTAAGTAGCAAAGTAGGCCTTCAAAATTCGATCTAATTTTAAGCCTAAGTTTTTCACCGCAGTGTCTCATATTTGGGCATTTATCACGTTTGACTAAATAGCACATTTACTGAAGGAGTAAACCCCATCTAGGCTTAAAGCCTAGGTCTCCTGAGGGTAATCCTCATAAACTTTTTCCTCACTCAGTCTTAATCACTCAGGAAAGTGCTTGGCTTGTTTTCCATCGGTTCTTCATACCAGGCAGGCATAAGTGTCTAAAACAATGGAAGCAGAAAGATCAAAAGAAAAACTAAAAGAATCCCAAAGGCTGAATCCTCACTCCAAGACCATACTATTCACATCTGTGATTCCCCGCGGGAACTTTGGGGAGCTGGGAAGCTGGGTCTTTAACTGGGAGTATGCTGTGATAGCTTTTGTCTTATGATCTTCATAACCTTCATTATTCCCAGATATTAAAGAACTTTGTAACTTCTGTGTTTGGGTGTCTTTCCTGCACTCATACCACTATGCAAGAACTGTCTCCACCAGCGTAGTGTCTGCCTTACACGAAAGCCCCAAAAAGTGTTTGTTAAATAAATATAATTCTGCAAGTATCTTAGTGCCTTTTCACCATGTGAACACTTGAATTCAGTGCTTTTCACCAAGCAAATATCTAGAATGTCCAGACTAGTACCCGTCAGTATATTTTTTTCTGTTAACTCAGCAGAAACCTCCAACTTAGGAAGAGGCCACACCTGGCGCTGGGAAGCTGCACTTCCCTACGCTCTCTGGGTCCTTTACTCTCTTTGGAAAGGACCATGTGAAAAGAGACATAGGCAGTTTCATCATCAATAAAAACGGACGTTTGCACATTGTCTCCTACAAGCCTGACTATGATACAAAATTTCAGAAGCTATAATGAAAAAGTTGCAACTACAGAAATCATCAGAGAGACGAAATGTGACCTCTGCTACTAACACCTTACTTACTAGTCCAGACCGCCATATTCGGGTCAACAAGACTATTAATGATGTTACACGGTACAGTAACTCGGCAGAAACTTCCCAGCACGCAGTGAGAACGGGCAGTGTCATGAGAAAAAAGCACTTCCTTTGCCCTGTTTGTCAGATTCTTTTTATAACACTGATGCACTAATTTTCTCCCACGCTAAACTTCCCAACTTTTTCTGTATTGCTTACGGTATAGCACCTAGTTCATGATTTCCACAAGTTTTTTTCCTGAAACATAATATTTAAATTACAAAACATAGCAGAATATCTTATTTGGGGTATCCATAAGCCAGAATTTAAAGGAATCAAGGGTCCATGCAGAAGGCTTTCATTACATATTGCTAACAATATGATTTATAGCCTCTTAACTCCTCTTTAATAAACTTTTGCTTTTGTCTATATTATTTCAAATTCAGTTGATGTTAAAACTCTACATACTTCTTCATTTTGAGGAGTTGGAGGAGGTCTTTCTAAATCCAGAAAATCTAGTGGTCTTTCACTTAGCGTAAGTACACGAGGTGGTGTTTTTAGTGCCAGAGGTTTAAACGAAGTTGACTGAATGATGTCGAGATCTGCTGGTCTTGAAAATGGAATGTCTTCATTATTTCCTGTGAGTCAAAAAATAAAAAGGCAAGTTTTAAAAAGCTAGCGCTGTTATTAACATGCATTTGCCACTACACACCCACTAGAATGGCTACAGTTAAAAAGACAAAGTGCTGACAAGGATGTGGAGCAACTGAAACTCTCGTACATCACTGATGGGACAATGACAGAGTACAAGCTATTTCAAACACAGCTCGACGTCTTTTTATCAAGTTAAACATAACTTATAACGTGAACTAGCAATTCAACTCCTGGAGATATAAAAACACATGTCCTCACGAAGACTTGTAAATGAATATTCAAAGCAGTTTGACTCTGAATAGTCCCAAACAGGAAACAACCCAAATGTCCATCGACAGGTAAACAGATAAACAAATTGTGGTATATCCACACAGTGGAATATTACTCAGTAATAAAATGGAATGAATAACTGATATAAGCAACAACATAAAAGAATCTCAAAAACACTGCACTAAGCAAATGAAGACAGACCTGAGTATAGACTGTATCATGCCATTTATAGAGAGGAGATTATGGAGACCTGGAATTGAGAGGTAGGGACTGAGATGGGGCACAAGGGGATCTTCTGGGGTAATGAATATATTCTGTATCTGGACAGTGGTGGAGGCTCCATGGGTGTATACATTTGTCAAAACTCATCAAGCTATAATTATATACGTTTTATGTAAATTATATCTGATTATTTTAAAGTACTGTTTGAAATTTCAGACTATTGTAATGAAAATACAATTTGAAAAAAATGTAAAGTTGTATTTCCCAACCCTTTTTAGAATAGTATTTTGAAAAACCCAGAAGTCTAAAATATTTAAAACAACGATATACCAGGCACCTTCATAACCAAATGTAAAATACCTGCTACGACAATCCTCTCTGGAACCTGCATAATCACACTCGCATTGGGAACTCCTTCTTGGAATTCTTGTTCCAGGTCAGCATTTGGTGGCGCGACCTTTAATTTTTCTGGGACCCTCATTCGCTGACTAATACCTTCAGTGTATTCCATTTCATACTGTATTCGACTGATTTCCGCCATCTCAGCAGCAGAGGGAGAAGGAAACGCTGTCCCACTCACTCTGTGGGCAAAAAAAATTAAAGGCAGGGTGACTGAGTGTTAAGTGTCAGCCTTCTTTATGTAGTGAAGTTAGAAGACAATAACTCAGAGAAAGAACAAAAGGAGACTTCTCATTCATGAATGCTGGACACATACAAAGGAAAAATAAAACACTGAAGAAAATGTCTTCCTCAATATAATGGCTTCTCCCTTACCAGGTAAAACTGCACCTTGAGAATATTGCTTAGGAGCAAATTTCGAAAATTAACCACAACACAAATACATGC